AAACTTGGTTTTTTCGCTTCGTTAAAAAGGGGAAAATGGAGGGCTGCTTGTGGTTGGGGAAGGTATATCTTAATTTTTCGCCGTAGTATGCTTATACGCTTCTAGCCCCGGTAATTCTACGTACGTATATTAGTCATATTTCACACATCATAGGTTTTACCGCACATTCACCCTTAAAATTTATAATGATAGGAATCCTCTCAATACCCGCGAGGAACGCTAACGAAGGTAGAAGAGACTTTTCGTAAGCTGGCTGCTGCCAGCGGCGATGTTTGCTGCGATCGGGCTTATTGGGTAGTGCAGAGTTAACCTACTTGACGCCATTTTTGTTTTTTTGTGATAACTGTGCCGCACTACCACAGCTTAAGAGATATTTAATCGCAGGCGTATACAAGAATCGCAGTTAAATTCCTGATCCTATAGCTATACCGATTTGTACAATTTTTGGAACTACAACATACAAGCAATATTCCAGTGCTATCAGTAAAATTTTCGCCGCACTTATTGTAGAACTCATTTTCCAAATTGTCCAATGCCTTGGCCTATCAAGCGATGCAGCAGCTGGTAGTAGCTAGAGTATAATCGCAAGAAGTAACGACAGATAACTTAGAGCAGCATCTCCTTTTTTGCCAAATTCACTGAGGCCGTACCGCGCCGCCATACCGTCGGAAGTGTCGGCCGGCCCGGCCGTGGCTCAAACGCGATAATCCAGGTATGCTGCAGTCAGTGTAGTACTTGTACTGTACACAGGTCAACATTCGATCTGTGAAGTGAATCCAAAATCGCGGCTGTGCAACGGTCAAGTACTCATGTTTGCTTTGGAGCGGAGTAAATGGAGTTTAAAACACGCTATAGGACCTTTTACTGGACCACATAGTCTTAGAGTTTTCTGGTTTGTTTAAGGTCATTTCTAGGTCAGATTTAAAAAAATACTAAAACATTGAAAAAACCATATTGGTTTTGGATCATTGGTCCCAAATCTGGCGGAATTTGTTTTGCTTAGCAAGGCCCTCGAGGGGTTACTACATTGTCAAATTAGGGCTACTTCCAAGGTCGAATCAAACTTATTCTAAGCTGAATAATTTTTGAAAATCCATCTTAAAACTCTAAATGTTGCTTTCTTTCTTTGTTGAATTCATATCTGGCGTTTGTTTAACCGGCTGGGTTATCAAGAGTTTACTTCAATGTTAAATTGAGATTATTTTAAGCTCAAATTGGATGAAATGGCCAGGCAAGAAAAAACACCGGATTTAGATTCAGCTACCCAAAAAACTGTTATATACACTCCCGTTCAAAAGTATTTGAACATCCAGAAGACAAGGTAACTGATGGAAGTTTTTTTTATACTCCAACCACCACGAAGGCCTAAGGCCTAAACACCCATGGGGTACCGTGAGGCTATAGGGGAAAGGGGGAACGCTACACGACTCTGGCGAGGGAACACGTGTGCATGCAACATGCACATACTCTGGCCCCGCCTACGAGATCCGCCGGGTGGTACCACCGCGTATGACAGTCAGAGACCATCTACCACCTACGGACAATCACAACATCCATAGCCAAGAAAAAAGTTTCTCCTGGGACGGGATTCGAAAAGTCTACTACTGCGGCCACCGCTGCTGCCTGTTTCAAAGAAAACACTATTTGTATGAAACATTCATTTTTTTGTTAATCCTTAACAACATACAATTATTTATAATCAAAATTATCATATTTTTCACTCATCAATATGTCCTCCTTTACTTTTAATTACATCCTGGCAAACGATGGGTAAACGCGCAACTTATTTTTTCTAAAGTGGATTGGGTTATTTCTCGCCATTCGTCTTGTAATATTCTCCATAAGTGTTCTTGAGATGTAGGCCAACATTTTCGTACTTCATCCCACAGTAACTCTATCGGATTCCAGTCCGGGGATTGGGGAGGCCATTGCATGAGTTTCAAAATATTTGGTTCTTCTTTTGCACCCAAATATTGTTTATAGAGCTTGGATGTGTGTTTGGGGTTGTTATCATGCTGAAAGACAAACCCCGGACCAATAAGACGAGTCCCAGAACGCACAACAAGATTTTGTAGTATGGCTTTGTAACCTTCTTTATTCAGTATTCCCTGTACTCTCACAATATCTCCCAGAGTCTCCACCGTGCCTAACTGAAGCGACGCTGAATGATTCTAATGCCCTCTCATTAGGCCGATGGTGGTCAAAAATTCTTCTCTTGGATCCAAAAACTTTAAATTTAAATACATCCCTCCAGAGGACCTTCTTCCAGTCAGTAAATGTCCAATTTTGATGTTGCTTGGGCTAATTCAGTCTTTTCGCTTCGAGTATCCTTCTTTTACTTGCAGTCACACTTACAGGTTCACACACATTCAAGTCCGCTGCTATCGGGTGCAGTCATGCGTCGATTGCGTTTACTTTTCACCATTATGCTTAAGTCTTCAGTGGAAGTTGTAACTCTGGGTCTCCCTCAACGGCGGATGCCTTGAGCCTTAAATTTCTTAATAATGGTACCTTCTGAAGCTTAGAAATGTTTCGAATCCTTTTACTGGATTTATGAAGACCAATAATAACTTCTAGCGGTCAAAAACATTAGGATACACTAGTATGCGATCCAGTCTTAGTCTTAGACCAAATGTTGACCTGTGTGAGCTTTTAACCGTAACCTTTACTGCTTGAGCGTCTGCGAAAAGAAGCTCGCATACCGGAAAAGTGCAAATGCCGAAAAGTTAACGGCAGCAGCCTTCTTCTGCCCTAAGCTCCTCACTACTCAAACTGCAATTGCTACAATAAAGTTAATGAGAGCTTGTTGAAACTAGGGTTATTTTTCCCTGAAGTATCGTATACTCGATGCGTGCGCAAAGTGTCACTGATTAGGCTTTTTGCTGAGCGGGTAGGTTACATTTCAAAGTAAAATTACCTCTTAGCTCTTAACAAGCATCTGAACAGCTAATGCAATTGTCTGGACGTCTCCTCAGTAGTTCTCCCAGAGTCATCAGTACGATATACGTCTAGTCAACGGAAAACAAATAAACGGATATGGATCTACTGAAAAACTGAATATGTAGCGTTCAAGTAGCACTGCTACCTATGCATAGTTTGCAAGAGCGTAGGTGTCTACACCTGACCCAGGAAGCCCATTCGATTCCCGGTATCTCTGAATGACAGTCCGCTTGGTAAAATGACAGGTATAACTTAGGATAGAACCGAGTGCTCACCATGCATCTTTGACGTGCTATGCAAAAAAATTCGGTATTCGAATATGGATCCTGAAACTGTATTTTAAATTATGTTCAAATACTCAAGCTTCGAATACAAAGCAAACAAGTATTCGAATACCGCTATTTTAAATACCTGTCTTCATTTAGATGTGAATACTTTCTGAATATTCTAACTAAAAAAAAAACAAATGAGCACTTGAAACTTGATTTCTATTTATGTACTTCATTTGTGAATATATAAGTTATAAAAAAATTAAACATGTATGATTATATTAAGCAAAAGTCAAAATAACAAATTGATATACAGTGTCAATGTGCGAGGTATTAAAATTTGTTTTAAAGTAGAATGAAAATCGCGAATTAAGAAGCACTACATACCACACAAATAAAATAACTTTACGTAGCTATTTTGTATGATATGTACTACCAACAACCACGCAAACGTGCTTTTATACGCTTAAGTTCCGTAAGTATTCATAAGAACAGTCAAACAGTATTCGAAAACGGGATTCTAATACAGAATTCGAATACCGGAATTTAAATATAAAGTGGGTATTCGAATATTGTGATTCAGTAAAAGTGTAGGTTTATGCAAGCTATCTGTCAATATTTACACTGTCCATGCTTATTCAACCCATGTAAGTACACTAAAGCTATTTTTGCTTTATTTGTTGGATTGTTATTGCGCGATTATCTACTCTATTTCTATTTTTGTCTCTTGGTGCTACAAAAGCTGAAACTTAATTTAAATAAGTTTATGAAAAAGATAGATCATGAACAAAACAGAATCCAAAATACCGAGAGAGAGAGAGAGAGAATACCAAATCCCAGCACACAAATTTATTCGAACAGCATTCGAATACCAGCAAAAGATATTTTGAATAGGATTCAAAATACGAATACTGCCCAGGTCTGGTCTCTGTCACCATAACGAACCGTATACAAAGTTGTTCATGGTGAACAGTTAGTGACTGATGATTACTAACAAGCCAGAAACAACGTTGTATACGATTGGTTATGGTCACAGGAACAGAAAGTAAGCAGGTTCAGCGATCAAAGTCACCGTCATAAACTGTGCGTTGATATTGTGGAGTAAAAAGAAACCTTCGGTAACTCCATATGTTTTACGACTACATACTGACGAGTGAATGTTTCACGTAAGTCATTTCCCTCAGGCTGGATATTTGCCACCGTGAGCCATTGAATGAGATGATGTTTCTCGATATATCTAGGACCCAGTAATATTTCTAACGTAGCCTCAGAAGATCAATGCTACTTCGAAATAAACTCCCAAATTATGAAAGCTCGGCAGTCGCAAAACTATTAGGATCAGGTGTTTGGTAAGCATACATTGCTTGTACTGGGTCAGTTGCATAAGAGAAAAACATTTTAGCTGTTGCTATCACAACTTTCTTTAAAACGGAGTGAGAAAAAGGCACCAAGTACTGTGGTTCACTTTATACGGCGCTTTTCAAAAAGATCCCCCACTTTATCTGTTAAATGGATAAAGTGATTGTGCTCTGTCCCGGGGATATTCGGCAATAAACCATAACTTTGCTGGGATTCCATTGGCGCCTATATGTAAGCAGCAACCCTATTCATTCTACATACGACATCGTATGTGAGCGTACCATCGGTATCGTTACTCGAGCCTCATCTTCTTGCTTTATTCAGGCACTTAAAAATTAGCATTTAATGCCTATAAAATCCCCAAAAAACATAAACTTCCTTTCCAAAATGGCTGAGAATGTGGATCTCCATCTGTATTGACTGGACTGTGGCCTAAGAGTGTGTATCTCCGTCAAAGTCAATAACCTGTAAATTCAGCGTGCGAAGCAGCACGACGCTGCTGCCGGGGTCATTGACATCGCACAATTTCTCAGCCACCGTCGCGACGCTTTGGGTCGCTTCCTCATGCACAGAAGACGGCGTCATCGCCGACGAAGCAACTGTGTGGCCTCTTGCACCAGGTCTCTCCGGCAAGCTGGGCGGATTGTCGGTGCTGCAGCAGAATTTTCGAATACTTTTACGGGACCACTACGTGTTTCCTCACGACGCTGTTCCACAATTTGCTTCTAAACATGTTAACAAATAGTAAACTGTCTTATTTTGTAGATTTAGGTTCGATTTCACCAACATTAATATTATGGACTAATGGAAAAATACCTTATCGAAATGCAATTTGACGGAAGCTGTCAAAGGTCTCTGAATATCAGTGATTTCTATTAAAATATTGAATAAAATCGTGAAAATTCGACTGTATTATAGACAAGACCACTTTTTGATTCCAACATGATGCGTTTGTACAGAGAAAACAGGTCAACCGTCATGTATTGTAAAATTATGAAAAATGTTTCACAAATAAATCATAAAAACTATTAATGTTTATTGTTTGATTGCCTTTTTCACTGGTAGGGTTATCTATCTGTCGCTCGCAGGGTTGCCAAGTCTAACGACGATCACGTCCCGTGGTGAAGGGTGCGACATGAATCTTTTACATTTGCTGGTTTTGAATTTAAAGTAGGAATACAAACATAGTACTTATGATAGTTGGAGCTGGAGCTGATAACACTTCTTGAAGAATATTTGAAAAATGTGAACACCATCATGGTCTGTTATCAAATTGCAAATGAAGTATCTGAAAATTCTTACATACAGTGGACCTTCATCATAGTTTACTATACTGATTATGATCATTTTTGGCAGATGTGTTGTATCATCAAATTGATGAACAAATATAACAATGTAAATTTACTAAGTATCATGATTATAAGCATCTTTGGTGGATTGTTCGATCCGGAATGGGAAAGATCTCCTATTTATGAAAATATTTTTGGTATCATCTAAGCGTTGCAATCAGTGCACAAAAACTGCGACATATGATTTATAGCATAACCCTATCAACACAAATTTAACATACAGGTCCCTTAGCCGTTGGGATGCAGTGGTCGGGATGAATATCACGGCAGAAACTGATGATTTGGGCATGTCTGGTAACAATGTATGAAGTGAAACTCGCTAACTTCACAAATTTTAAGATTTTGTATAATTTCGTTGAAAATGATGAAAGATATGTCTGATTTTCCAAGGTTATATCGCAGGCAAATGGCAGTCGGTCTTTCTGGACGCTGGCCAAGCAGATTGAAAAGAACTTGTCACACAGTAGCCTTCCATACTTACGTGTCAGGATGGAATGATTGTAACAGACTCTAAGGCCAAGACTGAAGTGCTTGCCAAGATCTTTGCTGCCAACTCCACCATGGACGCCCCCAACAAAGCTTCTGGTCCGAACTTGATTGTACTGAAGAGGTGTGCAGCGGAGCTTGCTCCAGTTCTTTTGCGTCTGTTCCAGATATCTTATGAATCCAGAAAACTGTAAATTTGCTCATGTCTAACACATGCCAAAAAAAGCATCTGAAACTGACCCTTACAACTACAGGCCTATAGCTCTGCTTTCTGTTATAAGTAAGGTGATGAGAGGTGCATAAATCGTGAGTTTCTGGTCTACTTCGGCTTGAGTAGCAACAGGCAGTATGGTTTCCGACACCAGCGATTCACAGGGGACCTCCTAGCTTACGTCACGCAATTGTAAAGTAAGCTAATCCAGTATTACGGCGAGGCTTATGTTGTTGGTCTTGACATCACGAAAGCGTTCAATCAGCTGTGGCACGCTGCCCTCTTATAAAAACTTCCATCCCATGAATCCCAGAAAGGCTTTGCAGATGGGTGGCTGACTTTCTCTCTGGCCGCAAGATATCCGTCGTAATTGACGGGTTCGCCTCTTCATCCCACAACGACAACGCGGGTGTTCCCCAGGGCTCGGTCTTGACTCCGACACTGTTTCTCTTACATATCAACGACCTCCTTTCCTGTACGATCAACCCAAATTTCCGCTATATTTAAACATTGCGACCAAATTTCAAAATATTTCTTTGAGGGTATCTTCGTTACTATCAGTTCGATATCAATTTTGCAAAGCTCATTCCTAATTATCTATTTTGACAAACCATGTATTAGTAATCCAGATTAAGGGCCGTATCGTCAGTCGTTCCGACAATACTTGTAGAACGCCTTTATAACCTTGATTTTTAGTCATTTGTCTCCTTCAGAAAGGCTGAGTTATTTCTAGATTTCAACTGTTCCAGGTCAGCGTCAGCGCTCTCCTATGTTTGTTTTAAATTGTAGACAATTTCAGGATATAACAGATAATATAAACAAAAGCATGAACAAACGTATATTTGTAACATAACCTCAATATCGAGCGCTAACTCGGAACAGTGGAAGACTGTGAAAATCAAGGACGCCATAAAGGCGTTCTACAATTTATTATAGGACGCCTTTATGGCCTCCTTGATTTTCAAGATATTTTCTCTCCTTTAGGCAGGCTGGAATATTTCTACATTTCTACTCATCCGTGTCAGCCTCAGCGCTCTCCTATCGAGAGACTATGTTTGAATTCTAGGAAATGTCGGACTATATTTGTATATCAGATGATATAAATCAATGCATGAACAATTTGATGCAAATATACATTTGTAACATAACCTCAAAATAAAGCGCTGCCACGGAAAGGTAGAAAACTATGAAAATCAAGGATGCCATAAAGGCGCCCTACAATAAATCATAGGACGTCTTTATGATCATCTTGATTTTCGTAGTCTTTCCTCTCCTTCAGGGAGACTGGGGTATTTCTATATTTCTACTGTACCAAGTCAGCGTCAGCGCTCTCCTGTGGAGTTATGTTTTCTTTTGTAATTGAAGTAAAGTTAATCCTGTCGAAACAGAACAATTTGATGAAAATAGATATTTTTGACGTAACCTCAACATAGAGTGCTGACACGGAACAGTAGTAAACTATGAAAATCAAGGAGGCCATTAAGACATCCTACAATTGTAGGAGCGACTGACGATACGGCACTAAGACGAAAAGAGGGATCCATAAAACAAATTAAATCCTCAATAGATAAGCATAAAAACTACTGGATTGCCTATTATGGTTTTTATTTGTACTCAACAGTGGATCAACTGTACGAGTATCACGACGATGGCTGTAGTTATCATGACACAAAGAGAAGGAGTATTTCGATGGACCACTATGCTTCGCCAACTCGTACAATCCATGCACTTATACCACTCACCTATAAAGGGTGTTTCAGAACTATGGGATCAAACTTCTAGGGGTTATTCAGTGTAACAGTAGAAAACATTTGAGTATAGGGGCCCATATCCGGAAAAGTGTCACTACGGCACTACGGCCCTAAGACGCGTTAAAATTTAGAAAGACGATGAATTGCCTAAATAAGATTTAAAGCATTCAATTTTTGCCTTTTGTGCATGATATCATCACAACAATTATTCAAAATGTCTTCCGCCAATCTGAATACACCGATTTAAACGTCGCACATGATTTCGGCGGAAAATTTGATATTTGTTTTGAATGATTTCAAATGTTGCTGTAATTCGCCCAATTGTCTTGCTCTGTTTCTACTGGAGTTTCGTAAACCAAAGACTTTACATGTCCCCACAGGAAAAAATCCAGCGTCGTTTAAATCGGTGTATTCAGGTTGGAGGAAGACATTTTGAACAATTGTTTCGATGATATCATGTACAAAAGGCAAAAATTAAATGCATTAAATTCTATTCAGGCAATGACGAAGTTTCCTATTTCTCAAAAGACACTCAAAATGATAGTCTAAGTAAAATGAAGTACAGCACTGAAAATTATTTTTGAATATCTGCGAGTGAGTGATGACGTCACATGACGGAAGCTTATCAGCCCAGCACCACTGCAAGGAGATGCGCTCGCCTCGTCGTGCCACACACGCTTTCCCCTATTATCAAAAATGAGTAAAAATTGAGTCAAACATTCAACCTATAAATATTTTATTGTACCTAGGTGTACAAATACTAGCATATCAGCTCCAGATAAACATTTTTTTCTGTGTGCCAAAACAGGGAAGTGGTGCAAGGTAATGTGTAGGGACGATAAATTGCCGCTGTCGGAAAGATCAACGTTGTTTTGCTGTGAATTCCATTTTAATGTAAGCAGCTATTTAGCTAATTATTATTAGTCTTAGTCTGTATGAATCGCATGATAAGGTAAAGAATCTAAATGATTTAAAGGAGAACAGAAATAGATTTGATTATTGCTTTCATTTCGAGATAATGTGAGTATTTGTATAGTGATCATCTTGTGGATGTAGCGGGAACACTGTTCAAATCTTGTTTGCGCGGACGCGGCGATGCATAGACGTAGTGTGGGCTTAATGTGTAATCATCTGAGAAGCTTCTACGAGTTTTACATTACTGCCAATAGTAGATAATCTGGCATTTGTGCAGAGGCACTTCACGGAAGTGCATGGTAGTTCTTTGCTTCTTCTGTGCAGCCACATTAATACACCATGCTTGCAGCCACCCTCTTGTGCAGCACAACCACTGCATTGTAGCTTGATTACTGTATCCCCCTTTTCGTCGCATTCAAATCTGCAATGACACGGTTTGCTTTTAACTCTATGTTCGGGCATAATCCTGAATTTTACAATACAGATACCCCGTTCTCTTTTTAACTGCACATAACCAATCGCATCGTATCCATAGGTGTCTCTTCCAGACCTATAATGACAACAGCCAAATAACAATACCCAAAAATGAATGTCAAATCATTGATTCTACTCCTGGTTAACAAATGGACATCGTGAGGTGTTACGAAAGAATTATTAAAATGCTGTGAGTCAACACCGAACGGCCAAGTCATATTGGCGTTGGATTAAATTTCAGTTCAAACAGTTGATTTTCTGGTCACTGCGCGATATTGAATTTATTATTAATTTATCAAACCTATTCGCTGGAGTTTGGATCATCCTAAATTATTTGATGCATGCAGAGCATGTTTTCATTTTCTTCTATTTATAAAATTAATAAAGCCAAATAAGATCATCCATAATACATCCCGCCACTGACATCACGCGTCCTACGTAAAGTTGATGACTCAAAACACTTAAGTCCACAGTATGGTATAATCGCAGGCAAAGGGTTGAAAAAACGGATTCACATTATCAGAGTTGTATAGGATAAATCATACTTTTTACTTACTTACGTATTTCCGTACTGACAAAAAGTGGATTGTTTGTGAAAATATTCATTACCATTATGATGTCCACCTTCAAAAGATTTGTGGAATCGGCACGTAAAAAAACCTTTTTCCATTTTAATTATTATATACTACCATACAACAGTCTAAGCCAAGATTCAAACAATAAATTACGTCTTGTCAGCTTGAGCGCTAAGGATGAAGCGGTACATGTAAGTACAGGGGAAAATTGAATTTTCTGCCCAGAAGGGGTCGGAAAAGACTAAATGATTTTTTACGGCTTTCTTTAGTATCACAGATGCCAACAAAATAATCACGATGCACTTAGTGCCGTACGGAACTAATGGTGCCAGAAGCCATAAAAAAAATTATTTTCAGGAAATTTTCTATGCGGAAAAATTAATTAATTAACGTACGGCATTGTTACAGTTACCTTTCTGTAATTTTTTACATTTAAAATTTTGTTGGCATCTGTGATACGAAAGAAAGCTGTAAAAAATCATTTAGACTTTTCCGACCCCTTCTGGACAGACAATTCAATTTTCCCCTGTACTTACATGTACCGCTCTCAAGTGACGGCATAGTGCTAGAAGTTATTTTTTCATGTAGTTCTATCGTTCTGAGTAGGTTTCCTGCTGTATTACATGACCCCCCCATTTTTGCCCACATCTCCCGGTTTGTATACGACGCACGACGTTCTGTCATGTGACATCACTACCGAACTTCGACGCGCGAGGCCGATCGGCTACAGCAGCCAACACAGAAAATGCCATAACTTCATTCAATTTAAAGTTATTGGAATAATTCTTTCAGATTTGTCAAATATACTAGTTATATTATCAGATGCAGGTAACACAGACAGTATTTTTGACTGTAGGAAACTTCCTAATTCATCGTCGTTCTAAATTTTAACGCGTCTTTGGGCCGTAGTGCCGAAGTGACACTTTTCCGGATATGGGTCCCTATACTCAAATGTTTCTACTGTTACACTAGTAACCCCTACAAGTTTGATTTCATAGTTCTGAAATACTTTGTATAAGATTTTACGCTTCTGTGGCCGTCATGGTTTAAGACCACGATTTGGGTAACACATTGTTTTCTTGTAAGCACTCTTTTTCACTATAATTAATTTTTTGTTAATTGGTAATTATTATATTGATCTTATTCCGAATGATATAGTCATTCTTGATTGTTGAACTTTCTATCGCAGTATCACAAACTTTTCTATACTTGAATTGTTTTTCTACTTTTAGTTCAATTTGTTATTAAAGCGTACTTATTTTAGTTTTTTTAAACTGTAATTAATTTTCAGAACTTTTAAACTCGAAACGATAACAAATGTGATCAAGAGAATCGATTTTCGGTATATTTTATTTTTAACAATAAATCTAAGTTTGCTTCAAATTGTTTTTCCAAATTTTCGAATTCATTTTTTCCAAATATTCAAATTCAATTCTTGTTTGAAATTTCGAAATTTGATTTTTTCCCAAGATTATTCTACTGTCATCTGTCCTTGACCCCTGTGCAAATCTTCAAGTTAATTACACTTCTTAAAATTGGTGAAAGTCAGGTTGAAAGGTTCCGTTACATATATAGTTACATACATACAGGTCACGCTAATACAAGCGTGCTAAAAATGCATTAACGTCAAATTATCGCATCATTACCGTGAGATATATTTGTATCATATTTGGTTATTCATACCTAGTGAATCAGTGAAGTTTTCTCTACTCATTGGCAAAGCTTTTCGCTATAAGAATCCTATATCTTAATTCCCTACTGGCGGGGAAAATATTGTGATATTAAAAATTTTCAAAAAAGAGATATTATGTTTTTTAGATGTTATATGACATGAATAGGGTGGCTGCCGACAAAAACCATTATTACTATGGTAAAATGGCCAACAGAAAAGCCCGAAAATGATTTTTAAGTTTCTGGCTGGTAGGGGGCGTACCTGCAATCTTGAATCTAAAAAAGTGATGTTTCTGTTAATTCCGATACATTAACCTAACAAAGAAATATCTGATCTTCAAATTGGAGGAAATCTGAACCCTATTTGGTTGGCAATTTTTGCTGTATCTCTGAAAATAAGGTGGTGGAGGGTATCAATGGTTTCCGTAAAAAACACTCTGTATCTTAGAAATGCCTACGCCGATTTTAACAAACTTGTGCTAGTTGAAAAGAGCTACTCTTTTTCATTTCATTATATGTTTCATTCCCGGGTTAACTACGTGCAAGCAGCACTTTTATCGGTTTCAGGAATGCAGTTCTACGAAAGGGAGTGAACCCAGTTTTTGAAAGCTGTTGACGTTTATCTAACAGTGTATCCATTTTCTTCAAATCATTAAACGTTTCATCACAAAGTTAACGTTGTCTTTAGAGATGAGACTGATGGACGACTGACAGACTTCCAAATTTTTCTCCTGAGATTTGCTCGGGTTGCGATTCTTTTATCAGTTGTTGGGAATACAATTTCAGGAAAGGTAATAGAACCACACACACTTTCTATCATCTATTCTACTTCTTCGTTTCAAGAATTGATGCCCTGGTTTACAGCAAACCAAATAATCGTATTGGATAAGTTTTTACCATATTTTACATTTGTAATTGTAGTTGTTCAAAATCTAGTTTTATATTTTAATTCTTGGTACTCGCAAATCCAAAGCCAAGTTTGAAAAAGTTTGTTTGGGTGTTTAGATATGAAAAGTATCTGTTAATAAGTAGTAAGTGGTAAGTAGTTTTATGAGCAAAATTTAAAACATAAAACATTTGTTTTCGTGGCAACCTTGCTATGTTACTAGTGCATATTCTAAAATTATTTTAGTATATACAGGTGTTCCATAACTTCGTGCCATAGCATATAGTTTTTCAACTAGAACATCCTTTATTTATTGCATATCTGAATAGAGGTTTTAAAAAGGAGAAGTTTGATATCGCAACATATGGTTTTGATTGTCAATTCTTTAGATATTTTCTCTAACATCTGAAAAAATTTTGAAGATATTTAGATATATCTTAGTTCACAGATATCTTATATCCAACTATTTTAAGCTGGTCTACATAAGGTTCTGAAATATATTTCTATTTATTCAGGGTATCTGAAAACGCAAAATATGCCTTTTCTTTAAAAATTTCAAAGGAACGCTCAGTTTATTTTATATAGTTTTTTTGGTGAACATTTTCATGATGTGAAGCTTATACATTTTTTGGGCTATTGCTATCAGTCTCAAGAAAAAAACCTAGGGTGTCCACTTAAACGAGTCGCATGTCCTCAGGTGTTGTAAGTTTCTCCTGGAAAACTTCTCCTTTCACATAACCCCACAGAAAGAAGTCGACAACGGTCAGATCGGGAGATCGCGCTGCCCAATTGGTCGGGCCGCCTCTCCCCATCTAACTATTAGGGAGCCAGCGGTCTAGATACTCCCGTATTACTCGATGGTAATGTAGTGGGGCACCATCATGTTGGTTCCACAAATTCCTCTTAGTTGTTGAATTTACATTCTTTAGTAAGTGTGGTTACCCAAGTTGCTGAAACAATGTGGTTGTGAAAAATACTGGCCCTGAGATCAAACATCTAGGAATCAACAGAACAACTTGGAATGTATTACAACAATTTAATATGAGTCTTGTTGTGCGAAGTCTAAATGTGGAACACATTTTCTTTCTTGGAATTAATAGCAATAACTCGAATACTGTGATAAAAGTCGCATATCAAAAATATGTTCCTAAGGAAAGCTATGTATTGATGTAGAAATGTAAAGGTTGTTCCATTTTTAATTTAGGAGAAAGGATACATTTTGCGTTTTGAGATACCCTGTACAAATAGAAAAATATTTCAGCACATCTTTTAAATTAGCTTAGAATCGATGATCATAAAATTGTTGTGTGAACTAAAATTATCTAAATACCTATAAAAATAGCGCAGCTGCGAGCTGTCAAATTTGGGCATCTTTCAAGACATTTCACTAAATATGTAAACAATTGACTATCGAAACTATATGTTATATGATATCAAACTTCTTTTTTTTAGAAGCTCTATCCGAATATTGAATAAAATGTAGGGTATTCTACTTAAATAAATACATATTTGCTATTGCACGTAGTTATGGCACACAATGTATATATAAAAATAATTTTAATTAATATGTACTAGTAACATATTATGAAGGTTACCACGAAAAGATTCATTGGCGGTAAACTGTACATTTAGGCTGGGAACATTTAGGAGGAATTGATATGATTGGAATTTGTGGGATAAAAAACGGTAGTAATTGATCGTTTTGCTATAGAACGGAGGCGGAGGCTCCAAAACGGTAAATCTACCGCAAAAACGGTAGATCTGGATTCGCTGATTGCAGGCACAGTCGACAAATTTTATATGTGGGCATTTTAAATAGTAGAAAGAGTTTTTAAAATACTTAGGCCTCGGGGCCTCAGGCCCACCATATACAAAATTTATTAATTACCTCACCGTTGGGGTTTTGAAGAATAGATCAAGAAATATGTGTAAAATCTCTAGATACTATTGCCGGAAAAACTTATGAGGCGGATACCTGTTTGTCCGACGCCCTAAAATCAAGAATTGCCTGTAAGAAAAATTTGAATTTTGGGAACGCAATCGAAAACAATACCAAATATTTATAAGCGTTTTTTTATAAATCTCATTCAATATGATTTTTTGGGTGGTAGATATAATAACGTCAACTATTCGACTAGCATTATTTAATTTTATGTACTATCTTTTCAAGTCAACTACAATAATAAGTCGCGTTATGCACGATTTTTTGTAACAACGCAGTAATCAGCAAAGACAAAACGCATAATTGAATCGTGCGCATCGTCCCCTTAAAATCACTGTTGGGCCGCCAATCTAAGGCTACGTTTTTTTTTAACGAGGGGGGAATGCATTTACGCACCATACCATAGCACGAGCTACGGCGTGTGTGGGGCTCCAGGGTCTTGAGGAGATCACCTAATACCCACTAAACCCTAAACCTCCGCGTGGCCCGACTCATCAGCGTCTCGGTAGGCCATGTGTTGTGCGTGACCTGCGGTCTGCTACAACGTCTCCTCATGTGTTTCAGTCTCTGGGAACGCCGGGTTGGTTCCCTTTACCTCGCACATTCTATCGATGTCGTTAAGCGATCATCGATAGAGGGTCTGCTAGTTTCTCTTGAAACTCTTGTTTTCGAAAAATCAAGAGTTTCAAGTCATCTTACCAATATGTTGTTCCTGGTCCTGGTCCTGAAGGGTCCTGGTCCTGGTGGGTCCTGGTCGTGGCGGGTCCTGGTCCTGGTTGGTCCTGGTCCCGGAGGGTCCTGGTCCCGGTGGTTCCTGGTCCTCTGCATCCACGCCGTGGGGTGGGGGGGGGGGGGGAGCAGCCGCAAGTTCTCCTAATCTCCTAGTCAAGGTTCCAGTTAGCGGGTGCCAACAGGGACCTTGGTCTGGGGTACCTGGTTCTGCGGTTGCGAGGCCTCTCGTCCGGATCGTAGTCCATGAGGAATCGTAGCTGCTCGTTCGGGTGGTCCTGAGCTTTCTCGAAGGTCTTCTCCGCTTTTTTCCTCATGTACTCGTGGATGGTATCCCAATGCAGGTCTCTACGCAAGGTTGAGTTCCTTACGTAGGAAGGTGCATTGGTGGCGATCCGGAGTAGCTTCATCTCTAGAGCAGCAAGTCGCTTGCGGTAGCTGGGGGCAGCGTACCCCCAGACCGCGGAGGCGTAAGCGAGCTGAGGTCTGGCGATGGCCTTGATCAGCCGTAGCTTGGTCGCTAGCGGCATCTGGCTGTGTCTACCCAGTAATGGATAGAGTTGAGCCATGGCTGCTCTGGTTTTTGCGATGACAGCTTCTATGTGCGCTTTCCAGGTGAGGGACTTGTCAAAAACGATCCCCAGATATTTGACATTGTCGCTCCACTGGATATCTTCATCGAAGATGGATGCTTCGAGAGGTCTTGCAATCCTTCTTCGTTGAATGAAGATTGCCTGCGTCTTCTGGACGTTGATGCGGATTTTCCATTTCACGCACCAGTCCTGAATTTGGTCCAGTTCATCCTGTAGTCTCCTACGGATGATCTCGGGTCGTCTATGCTTGGCGGCTATAGCAGTGTCGTCTGCATATAGGGCCAGCATTGTGTCAGCTGTCTTCGGCACATCGTAAGTATAGATGTTGTAGAGCAGGGGGGCTAAGGCTGACCCCTGGGGCACGCCTGCTTCCAGCTGTCGTCTTGTTGAATGGGATGTACCAATCTTCACCGTGAACCATCTTTGTGTTAGATAGCTCTGGATTAGTTGGCACATGTTCGCATCGATTCCGGTGGCTTCCATTTTGGCGATGAGTCCATCGTGCCAAACTCGGTCGAAGGCTCGTTCCACGTCCAGCAGGACGAGACCGGTTGCCTCCTGGAGATTGAAGCCGCTGGTGATGTTTTCTGTCGTAGCGCTTGAAGTTCCGTGTTGTGCGAGGATCTGAAGCCGAATTGCTCTGGGGGGAGAAGTTGCAGTTCTTCTGCCTGCTTCTCTAGTCGAACGGCGATAGCCTTTTCGACTACTTTGCCCATCGAGGAAACCAGGCTGATGGGCCGGTAGTTCTGGGGCAACTTCCGGTCCTTGCCTGGCTTGGTGAGCATTATAACCTGGGCTTCCCGCCACCGCCGCGGGAAGTGGTTAAGTCTCAGGGTGGCATTGGCGATGTTGGTGAGCGCAGCAATGCCTTTGGTGGGAAGATTCTTCAGCATCCTGTTGTTGATGCCGTCCCTTCCCGGCGCCTCTCTGACCTTCAACCTGCGGATGATCAGACGGATTTCCTCTGGACTGGAGGGGTGATCCGTCTCCTGGCCAGGTGGTCGACTCCTCATGTTTTCGGCTGCGACTTCCACGGCCTCCTCGTGGTTGTCGTCCTCGTCTTCATGGTAATTGAGTCTGCATTCGGATTCTAGCGAATCGGCGAATGCTTCGGCTTTTTCTTCACTGGAGTAGGCCAAGCCGCGTTGGCCGTGAAGAGTGGGGATCGTGGTGCGCTGACGACGAAATTTTCGCTGCATAGACCAGGCCGTACCATCCTGGGTCTCTAGTTCTGCACAGGCTGCATTCCATCTGCTGTTTTGGAGTTCCGCGAGTGCGTTCTTCAGAGCTAACGATGCTCTGTTTCGCGCAACTCTCGACTCCTCTGTCAACAGTTGGAGATGTTCTCGCTTGAGTCTTCTGTTCTCCCTGATCAGGTGCCTAATATGGTGCGGTGCTGGACCATTTAGGTGTCTAGGAACTGCCGTAGTCTCGGAGCGGGTGCTGTCCTCGTGCGCTCGCAGGACAGCATTCTCCAGCTCCTCTACTGCGTTTTCCAGTTCCTCCGCTGATCGGATGGTTGGAATTTGAGTGATGTTCCTTTGGACGTTGGATTTGTACAGGTTCCAGTTCGTCCGTTTGGTGCTCAAGCTATCTCGAGTTCTAGAAGATGTGCCAAGTGTTAGTAGAATCGGATTGTGGTCCGACGATCCTTCCACCAGGGTCTCTATCTCGAACTCCTCTCTGATGTTGCGGAGGATGGCTATGTCCAGTACCGCAGGTCGCCCAAGGCCGAATGTAATGTAGGTTGGTTGCTCCGGACCGACGATGACCCCCGCCAGGGCATCGACGTGTTCCTGGAGCTGCCTTGCATTCCTGTCTTCGACGTTGTTGTTCCATGCCGGAGACTTGCAGTTTAGATCTCCGATGACTATGCGTGCTCCTGGGCCTCTCAGGAGGTCAGCGATGTCATCTTCTTCTAGGGCCTCCCCTGGTGGCACATATAGGGAGGTGATTCTGTAGGGATGGTGGTTGTGATGGACCTGGACCGTGATTCCGTCCCCATTTATGTCTGCGGCATCGTCGAGGACATGACTCGTCAAGGTACGTTTGACGAGTAATGCGACTCCTCCACCTCTGCCCCTTCTGTCGTAGCGGTACGTCTCGTACCGCGGGAACGTCAGACTATGGGCAGCATCCAATTTCGTTTCTTGGATGGCCATCACCTCTGGTTGGTACTGGTCTAGTATCTCCTGGATTTCTGGTTTCCGTGCCCTGAATCCGTTGATGTTCCAGAAGATAATGCGTAGAGATTCTACGTTTTGCCCTGTAGTCATTTCGGGTCTAGTGCTTGTCTTGCATCTTGGCCTCGAGTGCATCCAGGCGGGTTATGATGGCTTGCATCATTGCTAGCAGTCTGTCATCGCCGTGTTGCTTCTGCGCAGTAGTTCCAGTAGCAGTGGCGGCTGCTGGGGCAGAAGTGGACATAGGCTTCTTCGCTTTTTGAGCGTAAGAAGTCCTATTTGTGGTGGGGACTGCTTTGGGGGCAGTAGCAGCTTTCTTCGGCGCCTTACTACATCCCTTGTAGTTGGCGGGGTGGCCTTCTCCACAGAGGCAACACTTGGCGTTTCGTTGCCCTGTTGGCGGCGCTGGCAGACTGCAGCTGGTGCTGTTGTGGTCTTCTCCACACTTAACGCACCGTTCAGCGAGACGGCAGTTCCGCTGTGTGTGCCCGTACCGCTGGCAGCGGTAACATTGGCTGGGCTCGGAAGACTTTTTCTTCCTCTCGAAGCTGACCGTGAGCATGGCCAGCCTCTGGATCTCTGCAAGCTTTTCCGGCATCTTCGTCTTGACGAGGAAGAGCGGAAGTGGCTTCTTGGTGGTCCTTGAGGTCATCTGCTGAACCTCGGCGTCTGCGATGCCTTGGCTCACCAGATCCTCTTTGATGTCATTGACTGACATCTCTCTGGGTAGCCCACGAATGACCCTCTGGTCCATCCTGTCCTCCTTCAGTTGATAGGTGAAGAAGGGCCGCTTGATGGATTCCAGCAGTGCGACTAGCTGACGGCAGTCAGCTGGTGTATTTGTGAATACCTTCACACTGGTACCCGTCGTCCTCGCCTTGGCGAATTGAATCCCCTTGCTGTTCATCATCCTGCTTAAGGATGACCAATCAGCGGTGCCCTCGATGTTGATTGGCGGAACTCCTGTTCCTGCCATGGGGGCCTCGGTGGTCCTGGTTGCTCTAGGACCTCTCTTCTTGGTGGCAGTTGGCATCTTTGGCTGCCTGGGTTCTTCTTCTTCGGAGGAGGAGGAAACTCTCACTCGTTTTCTCCTCCTGGTGACGACACTGAAGTCTGCGTCATCGGTCCTCTTCTCGTCTTCTTCTTCGTCGATATCCTGGGCATCCATGTCCCTGTTCTCCGTAGGCTGCTGGTCCTCGTCTCCCTGGTCCTCTCCTTCTTCTTCTTCCTCCGTCTTCTTCGCTTTGAGGAGCTTCCTTTTCACCTCATCGATCTCATTCCTCGCCTGCTCGAATGCTTCTTGCAGATTTTTCATCTGCTCAGCAAGCATTGCGAAGTTCTCCTCTTTCTGCTTCAGCTGGCTCGCCAGCTTTTCTATTCTCGCCCTCGTGGATGGCGATCGTACCGTGATGAAAATCACAGTAGGATCGCACTGTAAGTCCGGGTTGGTCGCAGTCGCACAAGTGTATACTCGCGACGGCTGCTAGCTCGGAACTGAAGGCTACTTTTTTTTTTTTTTTTTTTTTTTTTTTTTTTTTTTTTTTAACGAGGGGGGAATGCATTTACGCACCATACCATAGCACGAGCTACGACGTGTGTGGGGCTCCAGGGTCTTGAAGAGATCACCTAATACCCACTAAACCCTAAACCTCCGCGTGGCCCGACTCATCAGCGTCTCGGTAGGCCATGTGTTGTGCGTGACCTGCGGTCTGCTACAACGTCTCCTCATGTGTTTCAGTCTCTGGGAACGCCGGGTTGGTTCCCTTTACCTCGCACATTCTATCGATGTCGTTAAGCGATCATCGATAGAGGGTCTGCTAGTTTCTCTTGAAACTCTTGTTTTCGAAAAATCAAGAGTTTCAAGTCATCTTACCAATATGTTGTTCCTGGTCCTGGTCCTGAAGGGTCCTGGTCCTGGTGGGTCCTGGTCGTGGCGGGTCCTGGTTGGTCCTGGTCCCGGTGGGTTCTGGTCCCGGTGGTTCCTGGTCCTCTGCATCCACGCCGTGGGGGGGGGGAGCAGCCGCAAATTCTCCTAGTCTCCTAGTCAAGGTTCCAGTTAGCGGGTGCCAACTGGGACCTTGGTCTGGGGTACCTGGTTCTGCGGTTGCGAGGCCTCTCGTCCGGATCGTAGTCCATGAGGAATCGTAGCTGCTCGTTCGGGTGGTCCTGAGCTTTCTCGAAGGTCTTCTCCGCTTTTTTCCTCATGTACTCGTGGATGGTATCCCAATGCAGGTCTCTACGCAAGGTTGAGTTCCTTACGTAGGAAGGTGCATTGGTGGCGATCCGGAGTAGCTTCATCTCTAGAGCAGCAAGTCGCTTGCGGTAGCTGGGGGCAGCGTACCCCCAGACCGCGGAGGCGTAAGCGAGCTGAGGTCTGGCGATGGCCTTGATCAGCCGTAGCTTGGTCGCTAGCGGCATCTGGCTGTGTCTACCCAGTAATGGATAGAGTTGAGCCATGGCTGCTCTGGTTTTTGCGATGACAGCTTCTATGTGCGCTTTCCAGGTGAGGGACTTGTCAAAAACGATCCCCAGATATTTGACATTGTCGCTCCACTTGATATCTTCATCGAAGATGGATGCTTCGAGAGGTCTTGCAATCCTTCTTCGTTGAATGAAGATTGCCTGCGTCTTCTGGACGTTGATGCGGATTTTCCATTTCACGCACCAGTCCTGAATTTGGTCCAGTTCACCCTGTAGTCTCCTACGGATGATCTCGGGTCGTCTATGCTTGGCGGCTATAGCAGTGTCGTCTGCATATAGGGCCAGCATTGTGTCAGCTGTCTTCGGCACATCGTAAGTATAGATGTTGTAGAGCAGGGGGCTAAGGCTGACCCCTGGGGCACGCCTGCTTCCAGCTGACGTCTTGTTGAATGGCATGTACCAATCTTCACCGTGAACCATCTTTGTGTTAGATAGCTCTGGATCAGTTGGCACATGTTCGCATCGATTCCGGCGGCTTCCATTTTGGCGATGAGTCCATCGTGCCAAACTCGGTCGAAGGCTCGTTCCACGTCCAGCAGGACGAGACCGGTTGCCTCCTGGAGATTGAAGCCGCTGGTGATGTTTTCCGTCAGTCGTAGCGCTTGGAGTTCCGTGTTGTGGGAGGATCTGAAGCCGAATTGCTCTGGGGGGAGAAGTTGCAGTTCTTCTGCCTGCTTCTCTAGTCGAACGGCGATAGCCTTTTCGACTACTTTGCCCACCGAGGAAACCAGGCTGATGGGCCGGTAGTTCTGGGGCAACTTCCGGTCCTTGCCTGGCTTGGTGAGCATTATAACCTGGGCTTCCCGCCACCGCCGCGGGAAGTGGTTAAGTCTCAGAGTGGCATTGGCGATGTTGGTGAGCGCAGCAATGCCTTTGGTGGGAAGGTTCTTCAGCATCCTATTGTTGATGCCGTCCCTTCCCGGCGCCTTTCTGACCTTCAACCTGCGATGATCAGACGGATTTCCTCTGGACTGGAGGGGTGATCCGTCTCCTGGCCAGGTGGTCGACTCCTCATGTTTTCGGCTGCGACTTCCACGGCCTCCTCGTGGTTGTCGTCCTCGTCTTCATGGTAATTGAGTCTGCATTCGGATTCTAGCGAATCGGCGAATGCTTCGGCTTTTTCTTCACTGGAGTAGGCCAAGCCGCGTTGGCCGTGAAGAGTGGGGATCGTGGTGCGCTGACGACGAAATTTTCGCTGCATAGACCAGGCCGTACCATCCTGGGTCTCTAGTTCTGCACAGGCTTGCATTCCATCTGTTGTTTTGGAGTTCCGCGAGTGCGTTCTTCAGAGCTAACGATGCTCTGTTTCGCGCAACTCTCGACTCCTCTGTCAACAGCTGGAGATGTTCTCGCTTGAGTCTTCTGTTCTCCCTGATCGGTGCCTAATATGGTGCGTTGCTGGACCATTTAGGTATCTAGGAACTGCCGTAGTCTCGGAGCGGGTGCTGTCCTCGTGCGCTCGCAGGACAGCATTCTCCAGCTCCTCTACTGCGTTGTCCAGTTCCTCCGCTGATCGGATGGTTGGAATTTGAGTGATGTTCCTCTGGACGTTGGATTTGTAAAGGTTCCAGTTCGTCCCGTTTGGTGCTCAAGCTATCTCGAGTTTCTTAGACCCTGTACCAAGTAGTGTAGTAGAATCGGATGTGGTCCGACGATCCTTCCACCAGGGTCTCTATCTCGAACTCCTCTCTGATGTTGCGGAGGATGGCTATGTCCAGTACCGCAGGTCGCCCAAGGCCGAATGGAATGTAGGTTGGTTGCTCCGGACCGACGATGACCCCCGCCAGGGCATCGACGTGTTCCTGGAGCTGCCTTGCATTCCTGTCTTCGACGTTGTTGTTCCAAGCCGGAGACTTGCAGTTTAGATCTCCGATGACTATGCGTGCTCCTGGGCCTCTCAGGAGGTCCGCGATGTCCATCTTCGTCTAGGTCCTCCCCTGGTGCACTATAGGGAGGTGATTCTGTAGGGACGGTGGTGGTGTGATGGACCTGGACCGTGATTCGTCCCCATTTATGTCTGCGGCATCGTCGAGGACATGACTCGTCAAGGTACGTTTGACGAGTAATGCGACTCCTCCACCTCTGCCCCTTCTGTCGTAGCGGTACGTCTCGTACCGCGGGAACGTCAGACTATGGGCAGCATCCAACTTCGTTTCTTGGATGGCCATCACCTCTGGTTGGTACTGGTCTAGTATCTCCTGGATTTCTGGTTCCGTGCCCTGAAACCGTTGATGTTCCAGGAGATAATGCGTAGAGATTCTACGTTTTGACCTGTAGACATTTCGGGTCTAGTGCTTGTCTTGCATCTTGGCCTCGAGTGCATCCAGGCGGGTTATGATGGCTTGCATCATTGCTAGCAGTCTGTCATCGCCGTGTTGCTTCTGCGCAGTAGTTCCAGTAGCAGTGGCGGCTGCTGGGGCAGAAGTGGACATAGGCTTCTTCACTTTTTGGGCGTAAGAAGTCCTATTTGTGGTGGGGACTGCTTTGGGGGCAGAAGCAGCTTTCTTCGGCGCCTTACTACATCCCTTGTAGTTGGCGGGGTGGCCTTCTCCACAGAGGCAACACTTGGCGTTTCGTTGCCCTGTTGGCGGCGCTGGCAGACTGCAGCTGGTGCTGTTGTGGTCCTCTCCACATTTAACGCACCGTTCAGCGAGACGGCAGTTCCGCTGTGTGTGCCCGTACCGCTGGCAGCGGTAGCACTGGCTGTGCTCGGAAGACTTTTTCTTCCTCTCGAAGCTGACCGTGAGCATGGCCAGCCTCTGGATCTCTGCAAGCTTTTCCGGCATCTTCGTCTTGACGAGGAAGAGCGGAAGTGGCTTCTTTGTGGTCCTTGAGGTCAGCTGCTGAACCACGGCGTCTGCGATGCCTGGCTCACCAGATCCTCTTTGATGTCATTGACTGACATCTCTCTCGGAAGCCCACGAATGACCCTCTGGTCCATCCTGTCCTCCTTCAGTTGATATGTGAAGAAGGGCCGCTTGATGGATTCAGCAGTGCGACTAGCTGACGGTAGTCAGCTGGTGTATTTGTGAATACCTTCACACTGGTACCCGCCGTCCTCGCTTTGGAGAATTGAATCCCCTTGCTGTTCATCATCCTACTCAAGGATGACCAATCAGCGGTGCCCTCGATGTTGATTGGCGGAACTCCTGTTCCTGCCATGGGGGCCTCGGTGGTCCTGGTTGCTCTAGGACCACTCTTCTTGTGGCAGCTGGCATCTTTCGCTGCCTGGGTTCTTCTTCTTCGGAGGAGGAAACTCGCACCCGCTTCCTCCGTCTGGTGGCGACACTGAAATCGGTGTCGTCCGTCCTCTTCTCCGCTTCTTCTACGTCGATATTTGGGCATCCATGTCCAAGTTCTCCGTAGGCTGCTGGTCCTCCTCTCCGGGTCCTCTCTTCTCTTCTTCCTCCGTCTTCTTAGCTTTCCTCTTTGCTTTGAGGAGCTTCCTTTCACCTCATCGATTCATCCCTCGCCCGCTCAAATGCTTCTTGCAGATTTTTCATCTGCTCAGCAAGCATTGCAAAATTCTCTTCTTTCTGCTTCAGCTGGCTCGCCAGCTTCTCTACTTTCGCCATCGTGGATGGCGATCGTACCGCGATGAAAATCACAGTAGGATCGCACTGTATGTCCGGGTGGGTCGCAGTCGCACGAGTGTATGCTCGTGACGGCTGCTAGCTCGGAACTGACGATTCCAACGCTACGTTGCACGATGAGTCTCATTTATACCCTAGGAGGAAGCGCAGTTGCCAAATATTCCAAATGGTAGCAGAAATAAGATCTTTTATATCGGGATA